CTCAAAGAGGAGCAATCTATCAATAGCCTACATGAAGTCGGGAAGAGCTTGCCATGTGCTTGGGCAAACTCCAGATCCATTAAATTATTTGAAGCACCAGTCCTCAGAATTAGAAACTGAGCAGGGGAGCAGGGATCCCCTGAGAACTGGAGTAGGGCAGGAGAAAGGCCGCCTAAAGGATAGGAACAGGTCTGAAGCAAGGCTGGGAATAAGGCAGGCAGAGGAGAGATCGCAGCTGCAGGCATAAGCATTGAGCAGTCCTGGCAATGCCTCTTAGTCAGTCAGGCGATCTGGCCATGCAAAGGTTTCTGCTGCGGTGAGCTAGCTGTTTCCAGGCACAGCTACAGGCTATTTAGGCATGTTTAGAGCAATTGTATAAATATCATTTGGCCTTTGGATTTAGTAAAGGAATATGTGGTTAAATTAGGGTTTGGCAATTTCCCATATTAATATTAATCATTTCAAATATTATTAATAATTCCAATAAGCATGGTCGACTCAGCTATGCCAGGAGGCAATTCGCCTCTTGGACTTTTGGATAACCAATTGTGACGGGGCAAGGCCAGATGGCTATAGGAAAGTAGTGAGAAACAGATATGTTAGCCCCAGGCTAAACAAATCCCTGTTACCATGGTAACCAAATGGCAGTTGCTCCAGGTTAATCAAGATACCTGGGGCCAATTAAGTTCCTTCCAAAAAGCAGTGGAGACAGGCAGGTTGATTGGGACACCTGAAGCCAATCAGGGGCTAGTTAAACTAGTGAAACTAGTTAAAAGCCTCTCACTTAGTCAGGTGGGGGTGGGGTGTGTATCAGGAGCTGTAGAAATGGAGCAGTACAAACCTTATCAGGCATAAGAAAGGAGGCCCTGAGGTAAGGGTGACGAAGATATTGAGGAAGTGGGGGTGGCTGTGAGGAATGGCCCAGGGAATTGTACTCATCCAGTTTCCAAAAAGTCAGCTACCAAGAGCTACTACTATCAGGGTCCCTGGGCTGGAGCCTGGAGTAGAGGGCGGGCCTGGGCTCCCCCCTCCCCTCCCTGACTAATCATTGAGACTGGGAGACAACAGAGACTGTGTGAGGGAGGATAACTTCTCCCCACCTCCCTTGTTGGCTTATGATGAAAATGGCTCAGTAGGCTGCGACCCTTGCCTCTAGCGAGAAAAGGGCTACATGGAGGGTCACAGTGAGCCTCTGAGGCTAGCGTAATCTGCCAGGAAGCGTGGGACCCACTGAGACGAGGTCAGAGCTTTGTCACACAATTCAATAAATTTCAGCACTGCTTACCTTCCAAGGAAGTAGAACATGTTGGCAGATCAACAGAGCAGGAGCTTCTTCTGTCACCACAAGTGGTCTTTAGACCTGGACGTTGCCAGATCAATCTTCCAACTCTGAGGGACTCCTCAAGCGGACCTGTTTGCAACAAAGTCCAATAGAAAACGCCATCAGTTTTGTACCTGGGGAGGTCTCAGCCAGGTTCATTGACAGGTGCTTTTCTGCTACCCTGAAAGGATCACCCCACTTCCATATGTCTTCCCTCCAATTCAGAGTCAAACAAACCATGCTCGTCTCATCCCTTTAGCACCGGCATGGCCTCAACAGCAATTGTACTTGGCTCTATTGACCTTGTCAGGGTTCCTTCCCCACTCTGAACTCTGGGGTACAGATGTGGGGACCCGCATAAAAGACCCCCTAAGCTTATTTTTACCAGCTTAGGTTAAAAACTTTCCTAAGGCACAAATTCTGCCCTGTCCTTGAACAGTATGCTGCCACCACCAAGTGATTTAGACAAAGAACCAGGGAAAGGACCACTTGGAGTCCTATTCCCCCAAAATATTCCCCCAGGCCCTACACCCCCTTTCCTGGGGAAGGCTTGAGAATAATATCCTCACCAGTTGGTACGGGTGAACACAGACCCAAACCCTTGGATCTTAAGAACAATAAAAAATCAATCAGGTTCTTAAAAGAAGAATTTATTTTAAAGAAAAGGGAAAAGAATCACTTCTGTAAAATCAGGATGGTAAATCTTTACAGGGAAATCAGATTCAAAACACAGAGGATTCCTCTCTAGGCAAAACCTTAAAGTTACAAAAAACCGGGATAAACCTCCCCCTGGCAAAGGGAAAATTCACAAGTTGAAAACAAAAGGTAATCTAATGAACCTTGCCTTATTTACTTACTCTTTTTGTAATATCCGAGACTTGTACAGGATGGTTTATAGGAGAAGGAGTTTTTTGACCTGATGCTTCTCTGCTTTCCCCAGAGAACATACCAACAAAGCCTAGCCCGCCCCGCCCCGCCCCTAAGATTTGAAAGTATCTTCTTTCCCCGTTGGTCCTTTTGGTCAGATGCCAACCAGGTTATTTGAGCTTCTTAACCCCTTACAGGTAAGGAGGAATTCTAGGCTACCCTTGTCTGTATGGTTAAGACAGACCTTGTCAATCAAGCCTCTGCTCTCTCTCCTGCTGGAGCTATATGTGATTTTTCAGGACCATAGTTGCCTGCTCCATCCCAACCTATGAGACCTCCACCTGATGGCGTAGATACTACATGGTTAATGCGTTTGGAGAAATCCTGTTTTAACGATGTCTAGGAATTGCTTCTCAATAGTAAAAAGAAAAAGGAGTACTTGTGGCACCTCAAGGTGCCACAAGTACTCCTTTTCTTTTTTGTGAATACAGACTAACACGGCTGTTACTATGAAACTTCTCAATAGTAGAAAATCCTCAGCTGGGGCACTTACCTGGCTAAGTGAAAGCACTTCTCCATTTGGTCCCGGCAGAAAGGCGTATTCCCAGAGCATGCACCGCTGAACCTCATGCTGGATTATCTCCTATACCTAAAAAATCAGAGATTGGCAGTTAGCTCTGTAAGAGTACATCTGGCAGCTATCATAGCCTTCCATATCTTGGTGTATAGTAGATCCCTTTTCTCCAACCCCGTTGCTATCCAGTTGCTGAAGGGTTTGATCAGATTGTACCTGCATGTGCAAGATCCTGTCTCTCTTTGGGATCTGAACTTGGTCCTAGCAAAGCTGATGGGACCACCATTTGAACCCTTTGAAATTTGCTCTCTGTTCAACCTCTTTCAATGTTGCCATTATCTCAGCCAGAGGGGTGGGTGAGTTGAGATACTTAGTGTCAGAGCCTCCCTATACAGTTTTCCATAAAGATCATGTTTATCTCTTCCCTCGCCCAAATTTTTTCACAAAAGTACTTTCTAATTTTCATGTTAAACAGGCAATCAGTTTGCCAACATTATTCCCAAAACCCCATGTGCATAGAGATGAGGAGAGACTTAACTTACTGGATGAGAGAGGCCTTAGCTTTCTACATGGAGCATACTAACTCGTTTAAATCTTCCATGCAGTTGTTCATTGCGGTTTCGGGCAAGGCTAAAGGCCAGCCAGTTTTCACTCAGAAAATCTCATCCTGGATCTCTTTGTGAATTTGTACATGCTACCAGTTGGCTAATATAGCCCCACCAGCTAGAGTATTGGCTCGTTCTACTAGAGCACAGACAACTTCAGCTGCTTTTTTGGTGCAAGAGCTGATCATAGACATAGTAAAGCAGCGACTTGGTCATAGCGCACATTTTTGCTTCTGATTATGCTATTTCCCATCAGTCCAGGGATGAAGCCAATTTCAGATGCATTGTCCTACAGTCACTGTTCAAAGAGACTCCAAGCCCACTTCCATGTTTGTCTGCTTATGAATCACCTACAGTGGAATAGACATGTGCAAGCACTCGAAGAAAAAATGGTTACCTAGATTTCTGTAACTGTTGTTCCTGGATATGTGTTGCACATGTGCATTCTATGGCCCCCCTTCCTTTCTCTCTCTATCGGAATCTATCTGGTATGAAGGAACTGCAAGGGTTGGAAGTGTCTCCACCCTCTTATACCAGCATATAGTGTCATATGGTGACAGAAGGGCTCTCAAGTTGTCCCGAGGGGTATCGCTGAGGGAAAAAGTTCTCCCAAATCTGTACATGAGGAAGGTGCACACCTACAGTTGAAAGAAAACATCTTGAAAAACAACAGTTACAGAGAGGTAGGTAACAGTTTCTTTTCTTCATTAGAATAGGATTTGGCCCTAGAAGATATAGGTTTGCTGTTGAAAAACAAGTCAGAAGCTGAGAGAGGATGCTGCTTGAAAAAGCATTTTAGGAACCCTCTTCCGAGTAATTTGTACTATCAAACCTTATCCTGCCACTGACTGTAAAACTGCTTTTTATCATATGATTTAAGTCCCAAGAGAACACGTTTGTAGTTGTTCGTTACATTACAGCTCTCCATGTTCATGGCATTCTGGACAATTTTCACTATAGTTGAAAGTTTTAATAATTCATTAGTCTTTTTTGCAAAAGGTCTGTCTCTCTTAGTTTAAACTGTATAAATCAAAAATGTGAGCCCATACGATATTACAGAATTCCATCTTCTGTTCTTTCTTGAATGTAGGTTTTCATTTTGTCTTTCTTGACATCTGTAGTCACTGACAAATACATTAGTCCTTTAAACAAAGTGGGGCAGATTTGTATGTCAAATACCAGTGTAAATTGGGAGTAACTCTAATGAAGCAATTAATTTGCACTACTGTAACTGAGGCCTGGTCCACACTAGGAATTTAAGTTATTATACCTACATCTCTCACGAGTGTGAAAAATCCAAACCCAAGAGACATAGCTATGCTGATCTAACCCCTGGTATAGATAGTGCTAGGTTGATGGAAGTATTTTACCAGCGACCTAGCTCCTGCCTCTCGAGGAGTTGGATTACCTAAATGAATAGGAGAATCCCTCCCATCGGTGTAGGTAACATCTACATTGAAGCACTATAGTGGTGAAGCGCTGCTGCTGTAGTATTTTTGGTATAGAGAAGCCCTGATGTTAGACTGTAGCCCAGTTTCTCTAGCTGTAATCCTCACTTGCACAAAACCTAATTTACGTTACAAATTTCTGTGAGGAAAGAGCATAACGTGCTTTATTCTTTAATTTCTTTCAGTTTACCAGCAAATCTGAGGCCCTCCTGCTGAAAGCCCGTGTTCTTATTAATCATTTGGCATTTGGCTTTGACAGAAGGTAACAACTACTCTCCCCTACTATTGACAGTTTTGCACAGAGTTTATTGTTGGCTATTTGTAAATGTCTTTTCAAAGCTAGGTTTTCAGCCTAAAAGTCATCAAAATATATTTTCTCCAAAGATACCATCTGTAGAAGATTATCACTCTTGAAGTCTTACTCTTGGGTCTTGGCAGCTTAACACAAGGCAGATGGAACTCCCTATGTTCTTAAGGATTTTTGGTCCCTAAAGAAAGTAGTAGTGGAGAGGACCACAAGCCACCACCAACCACCCTTGATCATGTTTTTTAGGTGTATTTGGAGCCAAATATAAAGCTTAGCTTTGGCCTATATAGTGTAACTATTTGACAATAGTTTGATTACTAATATGAACTTGGTTTGTTTGTTTTTTAATCTGTTTAGCAAATCCGTATCAGTGGATCAGAATAAACCATTGTTTATCCCAGCAGGATTGGATTCTCTAAATCAAATAGGTTGGTGAACTTCTTGTCCAACATTTTTATTGCTCAAATAGCTTATTAAAATGAGAGGAAACAAGTTTAAAACAGATAAAAAGAAATACTAATTTATACAAAATTGATTTAACCTGTGGAACTCAGTGCTACATTACATTATTGAGGCAAATAGCTTAGCAAACTTAAAAGAAAGGTTAAAATTTTATATTCCTAAGAATAGCCTCTGCAGTTACACTAGTTAAGATAAAAAATTTAAGGGCTTTTGGGCTTCATAATTCTAGTTGTGAATTGATAACTGGTTTGGGTCAAGAAGAAAATACCTTATTGTAAAGTCTTACACAGTTAATTTCATAATGGGGGACTTACACCTTCTTCAAGTTCATCTGCCACTTGTCACTGTTGAATACAGAATACTATACTAGAAGGATCATTGGCTTGACATGATATGGTAATTTCAGTATTGTTGGGACAACATGCTGATGTCCTTCTATATCATGCTGTGATCTTTAGGACCACCACCCGCCTCTGACAGTGATATTGGAAAACTACATGCACATACACCTGTGGATTTGTGGAAAAAAATATATGAGAAAACATTTCCACCTAAGGTATGTATTTTTATTTTTGCTTAACAGCTCCTTTCTTCATTCAGAACAGATGAGTAATGACTTCCATCTGTGGAATTCAGAGGCAGTCCAGTACTGTTGCTGGAAACTGCAGGACTAAAGGTCTGCCTTCAGCTCAGGCCATCAGAATTTCTGCTGCTGGCAGCAGAGCCAGTTTGCAGTTTGATTTCTCCTGAGCATTTTATTTATAACTTAATTTTTATTTGCTTTTGTGTAGTAGTGACTTAATTTCAACTTCCTCATTCCCTCTTCTCAGCTGAAGAATCAGTGGAACACTGAGGCTTTAATCCTCTCGTTTATCTGAAATAGCACTCCTCAAGTGGGCTTCCGTCTCCTCCCATCCCCCAGAAGTAGAGAAGCCCTGCAAGCATGACTCAAATTCAAGACATGCTATAGGCAGCTTTTCTGGAGCCTCCCAGGTTGCACTATGCCCTGCTGCCACAAGCCCTCCCTCTGCCACTGCTTCCTCCCCCATCGCTCCTCCACTGCAGGGTCAGGGGTTACTGTACGGGGAGCTTCTCCCCCTTCCGTCCAGCCTCCCTGCATCTGGACCTTCCATACCCACACACCCCTGCCAAGCCTTGCCCCATATACCCAGAACCCCCCTAGTTCTCCATACCCGAAGCTCACCCTATTGAACCTCAACCCCTGCATCTGGAGCTGCCCTGCACCCAGACCACCCTGCATTGAGCTCCCTGCACTCAGACCGCCACTCTAACGAGCCCCACCCCCCTGCACCACCTTGAGCCCCCACATCGAGAGCCCCCACATCATTGACTCCCAACTAGCGGCACCCAGACCCCCACCCCACCAAGCCCCACTCCTCCAGCATCCAGACCCCTCCTCTGAGCCCCAACCACCTTCACCTGGAAGCCCCTACAGAGTCCCATTGCCCCTGCACCTGGACCCCCCGCAACAACCCTTTGTGCATCCAGATCCCCGCACTGAGCCTCCTGCACTCAAATGTTCCCACACAGAATCTTCTCACCACATACCTAGATGACCCCGCACTGAGCCCCTCCATGCTTGGGTCCTGCCTGGTAGAGCCTGTCTGCCCCACACTTGGTGTGCCTGGCGCAGAGGGGCAGGGCGCCAGGGTGTTTCTGGGGCAGGCTCACGCCTTGTGCTGTGTCAGGGTCGGGTGCAGCCTCACCACTGAGTCTGTCTGGGGGCTGAGGGATGGGAAGGCTGATCTCCCTCCTTCGTACAACCAGTGGCCTGTGCTCCTCACTGCCTTGCTGAAGCCTTTGCATTTATTAATTAACAAATAAAACTTGCAAAATTTAAAAATATTGTGCAAGGATTTTTCTTGAGTCCTGGTGTTTGTGACAAGAACAGTGGCTCAGTAGCTACAAAAGCACCCATGTTCATACCCATGAATAGCAATCAGTCATCTCAGTAGATACCCTTTGCATCCAAACTTACAGGTGTGAGGCTTTTGGGGGAAATATAAAAAAAAATAGGGCCTCCCTACTTACTTACTAATTTTTTTGGCGCAGAATGCCCTCAGAAGTATCTTATATCTGTGAGGTCCTGTCCCATGAAGCAGCGTAATAAGAATTGTGCCTGTCTGGTTTTCAGTCCATGGACCCTTACTCTGTTAGGGAAAGAGGCTTAGAATCTGAAGGATGGGAATGGGTTTTTCTTCACCTTTCTATAGGCTGGCTCCTCATTAAAGCATATGATGCACTCTAGGAAGTGTGTACCCAAAATAGAGGTATAATAGGACTCAATTCCCCATGCAGCTTCACCATCATGGAATTACTGGGGGGAGAGAGGGGTAAATAAGTAATCTCCCATGTTCACAATAACTCCTCATTTAGTGATTTAAAACCCAGAATGGTACTCAGTCTCTCCTGAAGTACACAAATGGGTGCGGGTCATCCTGGGGAAGCAGGCAGGCTTCCATTCAGGCACCCAGTGCAATCTAGTGGGCTGTATCCACAACCAGGTATTTGTCCCAGTATCTCTCCTCAGTTAAATAGTATGAGATCAGGTTGAGTAGTATGCTACGTCCTTCCTATAAACAAGTAGGCAAAAACCTCTCCTAGGACAGGAAGACAATGACTCAAAAGGAACTCATTAATAACAATAATTGTAATAAATATCTTCCCCTTCAAGCAGAATGAGGTACATGTTTTTCCGTATTCACCTCCTTGTGAGGACACCTCATAAAATCTAGATGGGTACTTCTGGTTAAAATGAAGTGTTGAACTAAGACATAGTTCCCTTAGGAAGGGGACTTCCTTCCAAAAGATCCCATAGACCATAAGAGTGAGGAAAGTACAATGAAATTTCAAAACCTTAACTAGCCATTAAGGCCACAAGTATTCCCTGTATTTAAGAAGGAAAACCTAGCCAATGGCAAGCAAGTGGCTTGTCATCTAGGCACTTGCTTGAGTGCAAGAGGTCTTGGGTTCATATTCTGGTCAAGTCCTTGCAGTAGTATGCAAAATGTCTTTTATCTGGCAATTTTTCTTGGGCCCTGGTGTTTGCGACAAGAACAGTGGCTCAGTAGCTACAAAAGCACCCATGTTCATACCCATGAATAGCAATCAGTCATCCCTGCAGATACCCTTTGCATCCAGACTTGCAGGTGTGAGGCTTTTGGGGGGAAAATTAAAAAAAAATAGGGCCTCCCTGCTTTCTCAATTACTAACTCTCACTATCAAAGCCAGCATCACAATCTGTTAGTCGCTACCCATACCAAAGGTATTCAAGTAGAGACTAGTCTTCTACTAAAAATATATGGAGCGGAAACTTCCAATGAAGACTGGGCACACCTTCTTCCCAAATCAACAGAATTCTCAGCAAGGGGAAGACAAAATGATATTTGTGTATGAGAACTTACAATTCCCACACAAGGAATGTTACTTTTGATCTACCCTCTGCACCCAGAGTCCTAAGAAATGACTTGTAGTAGTCACAGCAAAGTTCAGATTGCAAGTATATTCGTTAACGGACAACATCCCAGTCAGTGCTCTGTCCAGAGAAACTGACTAACATAATTTACCAGATGGCGGAAAAGATTCAGACATACCAAGTGTTCAAAATCAAGAACTTTTGAGACCAGTGCAGAGAATCGTATTAGCCATTTCCTGGCAGCTGTCAACTATAGCCAGTTGTCTCCAGCAATTCGAATGGTTGGTGCCATGCATCAGAATTATGGGCCCATGAAGACATAGAACCTTACCAGATGCAGTGCAAAATTGTCATTCCCAGATGTCCCATTAGGGACAGGTAAATGCAAGTAACTTGCAGAAAGCTAACCCAACCACTCTATACCCTTGCATACTCACTACAGAAGCAAACTTCACAAGGTGGGGAGCAAATCTGGAAGACAAGATGACCCAGAGGTCATGGTCCCTCACTCAGGAAAAGGAAAACATCCAGTTCTGTTAAGTGCACACTTTGTGCTGTACAGTTTTCTAAATCTCACAGTACATATATTTTTAGGTTTCAGAGTAGCAGCCGTGTTAGTCTGTGTTCGCAAAAAGAAAAGGAGTACTTGTGGCACCGTAGAGACTAACCAATTTATTTGAGCATAAGCTTTCGGATCCGATGAAGTGAGCTTTAGCTCATGAAAGCTTATGCTCAAATAAATTGGTTTTTTTGCATATATTTTTAGTTTGCTTTAACAGGTCTGTCAGTGGTGTGTCTGAACACCAATATAGGAATGGCCATATGAGATCAATACCAGTGATCTGTCAAGTCCAGAATTCTGTCTCTGATTGTGGCCAATACCAGCTCTTTCTGAGGAAGGTGCAAGAAACCCTGTAGTGAACATTTATGGAATAATTTGTCCACGGTGGACATTTCCTCATTCATCATAATTAGAGGTTGGCTTGTGCTCTGAAGCATGAATGCTTATATCCATTCCAAAACCAGGAAGTAAGCAGTGAGCAGAGTTAATCTGAGGTGATAGAAAGAATGTCACAGGCAGAGAAGAATTTGCTATCTTTCATGACTGTTCGCATACAGGATCCAGAAAAGAGAGCTGAGGTTGTCTTCCATGGGCCCAGATAGTATGTTTGTTTGGTTTTTTTACTTGATAGACCACTAAGGAACCTCCATTGCACCTGCAGAAAAGACCAAACTGTTGGGGATGACTCTTGTGCCCTAAATACTAAGTTTGCTGCTTCGCAAATGAATATATTGCATTGAATTATGTGAGTGATGGATGATAAATGCTTATTTTTTTGCATGCATTTGAATGACCTGTATTATGTTCCTCAGACTCTTTAGTAAGTATTCTGTTAAAGCACTGAAAGTTCAACTTATGGTGTTTTTTATCCTTTTTTTCAAATTTCAGAGTACTAGAGATTTAAAAGATGTCAATGACCCTGCGCAGGATCCACAGTATGCTGAGTATGAAGTTGATGCAATGAGAGCTCAGAAGAATCAGGTACATTATTGTAAAAAGAAAAGGAGTACTTGTGGCACCTTAGAGACTAACCAATTTATTTGAGCATAAGCTTTCGTGAGCTACAGCTCACTTCATCAGATGCATACTGAAACCTGTACATTATTGTGTTGCTGCTCATGTTACTACAGTCAGCTGTCCCTACTCATCAGCATTTCTAAGGCAGTTAGTATGTATACTCATAGAATCTACATTTGGCTTTTGAGAACCAATTGAAACCATCTCACCCTCGTTGGTTGATCTTTCTCCTCTCTTCTCACTCTTGGAATCTGATCATGACCAGCACTTAGACATTGTCTAAAAGTCCTGTGTCTTATTGTTGGTTCAGACATGAACAGTTCATTCGCTACCTTCCGAGACCCCTCTTCAGGTTTGCTTCTAACAGTATTGTTATAAAAAAAAAAAAAAAAAACCCTTTTCTTTCAGCATAAGAGGCAGTAGAGTCTGTTCCCCTAGATCTGGGCTTCAATTCTACCATGTTTTGGAGAAATGAGGAAATTGGTTGCAAACATTTGGGTTCACTGATCCTCTTTTGCTGGGAAGGGTGTAATAAGGCAGGAAAATAAATTGTGCAAAAATTGTAAATCAAGACTGAGATGTTCAGTCTCATTTATGTTGGTTTGCCTTGCAATAATTCTCAGGAGGGAATAGGAATCCTGTCCTACAGCTATCTGTTTTCACTTCATGCTCTTTAGTACAAGATCAGGGGCTAATAAAGTTCTCTCCATCCACTAGTCTGATTAAAGACGAGCTTTGCTCATCCGTCTGATTGTGCACGTTTAACCAAGCTGACAGTACTCTGATTTTAAAAGGAGGGGTCTGCTGACATTGAAAAACTGGGCACTTTCTATGAGGGACCCTTGATTGCAGAAATGGTTCCTCGTTTGGTCCACCCAAGCCCAGTGAGGCGTTAGTTATAGAACACGGGCAAAAGAACCCTGGAAATGGTGTCGGGGTGTGAGAGTTCTACATTTTTTATTTTAAGTTGGTGTTTGTGAAGGGTTCTGGATTGATGGTCTTGGTGACTGAAGTTCTTGATTAACAGGAAAGGGAATTGGCAATATAAGTTTCTCCACTCTATCCTGACATTTTGCATAAGCCCTGAATTACAGGAACCACCTGTAGGTGTGAAAGGATAGGTTAGTCTGTTTCACGTTTATTCCTTAGCATCTCTGCTCTGTATGCCAACAAGTTTGCCATTTGGATTTGATGATGTAGAAACCTGTCCACTGGAAATTGGCCTGAGATTACCAAGCTCTCTTCCTGTAGGTAGAGCCTCATTGGAATTCCTTTTATTTTTTATACCTTTTTGTTTTATTACTCCTGCGGTGATAAAACATAATTCCGGAAAAGATTGTTTTTGGAAGGGGACCCTGGAGAGTGAGCCCACCCTACACTCATCCCACAGCAGTGGCACTTGTACCACAAGACTGGCCCCAGCTCCCCTCTGTGGACGCTGTGACTTGCACGTGCCTATCTTAGTAGCACTCTGACCCCATGTGCCAGGTCACAACGCTTAGGGAGCCAGGCCCAGTCTTGCAAGGCAGGAGCTGCAGGGTGAGTTTTTCATTCTTTTTCATTTTATATTGTGTTAGTTGACATTTGCGAAAAATGTGGGACTCTGCCTATAGGACACCAAACAGCCATCAGTGGTAATAAATTTTGGTTAACATGGGCTGGCTTTGTATCCTATTACCAATGTCCTGAGCCATCCAGTCCCACTCATTATTTAGGGTCTCTTAAACTTAGAAAGCTCAGGCCTTGTATAATATTTTCTACTTGGAGATGGGAGCACGTC